TCTTAAATGCAACTTGGAAGGTGCCCTCTCTTCTAACCTCAAGGGGAAGATTCCAAGCAATGTTGACATTGTATTTGTATTCATCTAGCCACACCTCTGCTACCCTCAGTGCATTACGCTTCATCGTGACACTCAAGTCTGGGAGGTAAGGCTTTACTGCTCGTTCAATGTGGGCAATTTTAGAGCAAGGCACAACTTCAATGCTTCCTCCACACAGCCACACCTGTGAAAACATATAAAAGTAGGTTTGGAGGCTTTTAATGCAACTAATATAAAAAGATTACCCATTAAAACTGATCACAAATAAAACCAAATAAAGTTATATTGGAGTCAATAATAAATTTATTTGTATAAGACTTTAGATCCAAGTGGTATTATTACAAAGTGAAAGCATTTAGGAACCATAACGTTGCAAACCACCTAAAGCCACAGAGCCTGGTTGCAAAAAGAAGTGTGTAAAGGCACATATGGTGGGGCTAAATAAAAGGTAGGTAGACTAACATATTTCAAATCTCCAAGTCTCCATTAGGACTTGATCAGTCAGTTTACTTACCCGGATGCCCAGCTCCACATTTTCCCCACCGTATATTTTCATTCCACCATCAAGGCTTCCAATCTCTCCGAAGAACTTGCAATCAGCCACAAGTATCCCCATGACAGAGGGGCTCCTGGTGACACCGTTTAACAAAGGAAAAGCTGAATAAGCAAAAAATCTTACCATACAGCACTCAAACTAAGAGAGCAAAGCAAACCTAATTATAAAGAATTATGACCGCAAAGCCTGAAACACCAAAGCAACCAAGGATTAAAAAAAACCAAAAAACAAAGGATGTGTGATCAAGGGTGTTCTGCTTTCATTCTAGCAGCAAAATCTGCTCTTTGTGCAACCTCTAGACACCCACATGGGTGCTGTGTTACACTCTGCAGATTGCTTAATGTGAAAGATTTTGTCTGCAACTATCCTTGAATATTTGTTTTGGCAACAATGGCTCCATGTGAACAGTCTTCATAGCTTTCTAAGCCGTGGTTCAGCGGAGAGTCTGAAACGTCCACACTGTGTTGTCCTGACATGCTGGGAGTTAAAATGTGATGTCTTTAAATGTGACTCTTACTTGCCAGGCTGCGTCTCATCATTCAGGGCATACCACTCAGGTCTGAAGGACTCGTACATGCACCACATTGCCCAGTCAAAGCCATGAGATGCAGTATTGTAGGGACTCAGTGTCAGGTCATCGTATTTGACTTTGTCAAAAACAGGCGTCAGTATCACGGTCCGGTCCTCCTTAATCCGAGCCAGTAAAGGCTCTGCCCTAGACACGCACAAACAGTTTTAAAAGAAACATGAGGGCCAATTACAGGATTATCACCACAGCTCTGAAAAGAGTCACTCAGATCTTAAACCAACCATTGGACGTGGACTTCTATGTGAGCGTCTAAGATTGCAATCACCTCTCCCTCAGCTGCCTTCCAGCCCGACAGTCTGGCCTGGGTGAGGCCCAGCTGCTCAGAGTGCCGCACTTTCTTCACCAGGCCTGGACGATCCTCATGGATAAAGCTGATGTAATCATCCAGCTTCTCCATTAAGTCCTCTGCAGAAAATAAAGAACTGTTTCAGTAATCTGAGCTGCAGATTAAATCTACTCATACCTCTAACAATCACTTTTTTTCTGATTGTTAATAAAAACAATTCAAAGACTGTTTCACAAATCAGCTGATAGATTTGGCACTTCTTTGAATATAAAACAAGATTTTTTATTTGCCATACTCATAGTAATTAAAAATAACATACAGAGTACTATCCCTGTAAAAGCCACTCTGCTACTCTGAGAACTCTACACACGTGGTCGTGTTTATTTAGGATTATCAGTTCTTTTGTCAGTGCACAGCAACATCGCAATTACACATTACACTCCCTGATATATGTTTTCAGTTCCAACCCACAAACGCAAGCAACCGTGTCCCATTTCAGTGCAGCCTTTGCTACTCAAACCAGATCTCATATTTTACACTGATGTCTTTTATTGCCTGTAATAAAAGGATGTAGTTTCTGCCATCATTTGCAGTATAAACTAAAGCTGCGGTGAGCGCCTTCCTTTCTCGCTTGGTTTCAGATTTGTCAGATATCTGAGTACCGTCCCTGTGTACATAGGATATCCACCACAGTCTGAAAATTATTTTGGAAGCATGCTGACTCACCGTTGCTGCTGTGATCGTCCACCAGGATGATTTCTTGCAGCAGCCGAGCTGGTGTCTTGTCCACAATGCTGCGTATGGCTCTTTTAATGATTGAAAGAGCTTCATCCAAATAGATTAACACAACACTGATGGTCGGCAGATCCTTCAGATAATTTTTCACAGCACACCTGTGAGCAGAAAAATAGCAGGCAGCCTGAAGAAGTAATAAATTAAATGTTTTTAAGTTGAAATTGTATCCTTTAGTGTTCACTCCACATTACAAAGTTCTCTACTGGATTGACATCTGGCAACTGTGGAGGCCATTTCAACTTATTTTCATGTTAAAGATACCAGCATACAGGATCTGATGGTGTGTTATGCTGCTGGAAGCAGCCAACAGAAGACGGGTACGCTGTGATCATGAAGAGATGGACACGGTCAGCATCAATAGTGAAGTTGCCTCTGTTGTTTAAATTTTAATAATGTTGATGAAAGGCATGCTTTCTTGTTCTTGATGCAAAATTCATTCAAATATTGTCTTCTGGTGTTGTAGCCCATCTGCCTCAAGGTTTAACATGCTCTGCTTTCAAAGATGCTCTTCTGCATACTTTGGTTGTAGCAAGTGGTTATTTGAGTTACCGTTTCTTTGCGTTCCACTCAAAATAGCCTCACCTTTTACCCAAACAAAGGATTTTCTCCCAGATAACTGGCACCCACTGGGTATTTTCTCTTTTTCTGACCATTCTCTGAAAACCCAAGAGATGGTCGTTTAAGGAAATCACAGAAGATCAGCAGTTTCTGAGATCCTTAGACCAACAACATGCCACAGCCAACATCAGTTAAATCACCTTTTTTCCTCAGGGTCAAGATTAATTGCAGAAGATCATCTTGACCGTGTATACATGCCTTAATGACTGACCGATTACATATCTGCATTAGCAATCGTGTACCTAATAATGTAGCCATTGGGTGTGTATATGTACTAAATTCATATGCATTCATGCTAAGACAAAGACAATAAAATGTCATTGTCGCTGATCGATCTCAAAAACACACACAAAGCAGCTCGGTGTGTGTTTTTAGATTTTCTTTCGGATTCGTGTGTTGCACTCACCTTGGAGGCCTGGTGTCGGGAATCTCTCTGTTGAGGGGCAGCCTGTCACTGAGGAAGGCGTTGTATCCATATCTCTGAAACAACTGCTCAGCTTCCTTCTGCTCCTCCTCCGACAGATCGTCACCCCACTTCTTGAACAGATCAGAGTTGGGGTACAGCTTCCTCACCATCTTCCTCTTGTCCTTCACCTCTTCCTTCCTCTCAGCTGCTGGTGCACTCTTTTCCAGTTTATTCATTAAACCGACTGCGGACAGAAATGACCACATGGTGTTTGCATTGTCCATCTAATTTGTTTTTTGCCTATGAAAACCGAGTCAGTAACAGTCAGGT